GTGCCGATTAAAAATAAAGCAACCAAAAATTAAAACGGCAATGTTTTTTCATAAATGATACCTAAAAGATCATCCTCAATTTTTTTCATTAAAATAAAAAATTATGCAGCGCACTTTTAAATTCATTTTTGGTGTTTTCATTTGGATTGACTCTATATAGCGATTAAAATAAATATCCTGATTTATTCAGAGATGTTGTATTTGGTTATTTCAAAAGAAAAACACTGTTTTTGTGTTGTTAAAAGACTTATAAAAACACGAAAGCAATGTTTACAATAAAGGTAAGCAACGTGTACTTCAATTTATTACAAAAACTATTAAAATTAAACGTACAGTGGCAACAATGACATCAAGTCAAGCGCATCGTATGTAAAAAATTATAATTGTTATAATTATTATTATAACACAAACAGCAAAAATGTTAATAAATTTTATTTTTTTTATTTTAGAAAAATACGTCCTAATGGGCCACTTCAGATAAATAATATATATTTATATTTACAGTCTTTTTAAGAATAACATATAATTTAATATTTCAGTCTCTTAAATTAATTGTATATTCTTCATTCACTTTATTAAAATCTTTGGTTTGATGTTCCTTTATTTTTGCTGGAAATTCGTTATATTTCCTTATTCACTCATGAATCAGCTGTTTTTGACTAGTTCTTGTTTTTGCTCTGTGTATTCTTATTTTTCCTATTTCTAGTTTTGTAATTGTGTATTTCTTCCTGTTTTGTTAGGTTTATGTCGTTTTCTATAATTTCTCCCTTGTTCAGTTTATGTAATATTTTTAGTGTTACAAGTATATGAAATTTGTTGATTTTCAAGTATTCAAGTATAATAATATAACTTTTTAATAAAATAGGCAAACTTTAAAAATTAAATTAAATAATAAATGCCCAGTAAAATAAACTAATAATAAAAACGTCACATAAAAAACCTTTGTTTTTTATTCATTAATAATTATAATTAATATATTTTACCACCCCAGGTCATCATGGAAAATTCGCAAGTAAATCATACTGAACTGTATACAGGTTGCCTTGGAGTAATCTGGGTTGCCTATCCTCAATGTTAAATTTTGAGCGAATTTTAAAAATTAATAAACCAGCCCCTTTGTGAACGGCGTTTTGAAAGTCTATTATTATATATAATATATATATATTATATATTGAAAGTATATTATATAAATGTTATGATAAATATTAATGCGTTTATTTTTTATTTTTACATAACCGAAAAAAACTTGAATTTTTAAGAAATATACCTAACTTCTTTAAAAATTGAGTTTTTGACTTTTTAAAAAAAAAATTTTTTTTTAGAAAAATATAGAAAAAATTATTTTTCGAAAACTTCCCGATTATTACCGTTTTCATTTTTTTTTATTAGAAAAGTTATTCTCTGAAATTTTTACGTAGCATTTTTTTGTTTTTTAATTTTTTTTGAACGAAAAAAAATAATTTTCTTAGCTTATTTCATCTGTCAAATTTCAACGAATTTAACCTCACTTTTCCCCAATTTATAATAAAGCTAACTTCAGCCCGTGACTAAAACGCCATAAAGTCACATCTTGTCAATGTAGGAGTAGATAAAATGATTAAAATACATACATATGTACGTGTGGAGTGAATTTATTTTAATTGTAAAAATTTTATTAAGACATTAAGAAATTAAATTAATCTTAATTAATGCCAATGCCAATGTCAGTAAATTATATAAAAACAATAAATTAATATTAAAAATTCTTAATTTATAATATAGTTTTACTTATGTTTTGTTTTTATAATAGATCTTTTTTTTTTAAATTTGTGATAAATAAAACATTTACATAATAGGCAACCAATAAAAACATTTTAAAATTAGAATATCACAAATAAAAACAATAAATTTTAATTTTTACTACACAGGATGTCTCAAAAATGGCGCTTTAACATCAACATACCACGTTAATTTGATTACAAAAATTTTAAAATTCAATTTTTTTTTATTTTAATGATTATTTTAAAAAATGTGTAAAAATAGTGAAAATTGTGCATAATTTAAATAAATTTGAAAAACATATATGGGCCATTCCACGCTTAACGGATAGGACAGTTGCCGTGTTTTTATTTACAAAATAATATTGTTCTATTATATTACCAATGTTACATTTTTATAAATAGTTCTAAACAAAAGCTGTTCAACAAGGTTTTTATTTGGCAAAATTAGGTATCGTGATTGACTGTTTAATTCCTTAAAAATTAATAATTTAAAGCGTAACGGACGGGACTATTACAACGCCCTCTATTGAAAAAAGTAAACAAAATAATTACCGCCTAGGCATTTGTGATTATTTCTTGCCCCTATGGAACAGTAATATTCAATTTTAACATGATGTAGAAGACCATTATTATTTTATCCAAAAATCCTAAATCTCAATCTTAAAATACCTATTTGAAATGTTCATAAATTTACCCCCAAAAAAATGTGCAGGTAGGTACAAAAAATGAATTATATTAAAATAAAATGCATAAAATATTAAATTAACGTTTAGCTTTACAAAAACTACTTTTTACTTAAAAATAGCTCTATCAATGACTTAACATCGCCGTAACAATGACACAATTCCTTATGCAAGGTGTAATGCCAACGGTAAATACCTACCTTTTAAAAATAGTTATTTTCGAACTTGACATTACATCTGCCCCACATGACAAACGTGTCTGTTTTGAAGAATGTATCATTGCTTTAGACATGGAGTGCCTGAAACTAAAAATAATATAAACAAAATATTATCGAAAATATTGTTATTTTATTTAATTGTAATTAAAACAAAACTGAAAATAAGATTTTAACACAGTAATAGGAATATATTTCTAGAACTAAACACGAAGAAATAATTTCAACAAAAAGGCAAAAAGTGGAACAAAAAGAAATGCAGGTAGAAAAAATTAAAAGCCGGTATCGATCAAGAGTGCTGGCTCAACCTTCACCACGTTGTCATGCCGCAAGACCTTGAAAAAGCATACCGAAAACCGAATTGCAGTCGCTACCGAAAATGGATGCAAATTTCAAATGTCGTTTGGAAATTTAGATTTTTTTGCACGGGGACCGACTCGATATTCTATAGATTACGAAAATTGCTTAAGTCCACGCTAAATTATCTAATCTGTTAATTTTAATGCGTGCGCTGTTGCCAAGTCTACCCATGAAAATTTAAAAAGGTTGTATAATCAAAATTATGAGTTGAAAATGGAGATAAATTTTGAAATTAATTATAAATGTACAATCAAATAATTATTTTAATGAATCAATTTTTTAACTAAACCAACCTAAAATGATATTAAAAAAAATTATGTTACAGGGGAAGTTTGGTAGGTACTTTTAGATGGCGTAACTATTTTTGTGTAAAATCAATTTATTCTCCATTGGTGGCCACTATAAAAAATCTCATATTTGGCTGATAAAGTAATTATAATTGTGAATTTATTAAAATATTAATGTTTTTTATTAAAAACATTTTTCAGAATTTTTTCAAATTTTTTTACATAACCGAAAAAACTTTTTCAAAAAAATTAATTTTTGGAATATTTATTAAAATTGAGTTTTATGGATTTTTTTTTCAATTTTTTTTTATTTCTTTTAAACTAAAAATAGTATATTAAAGAACTAATGTCACGAGTGCGACATTATTTTATTTATACAATTATAGTTGTATAAAAAATTAATTTTATACCTTAAATTTAATTTGGTCAAATTTTACTTTAGATAGTTGGTATCACAGTCATTGGTTTGACAGTTAATGTCAAAATCGATTCGGCATGCCGTCCTTAATTTACCTATTTACAATCATGTTAAAGAAGAAAAAAATAATTTTCTTTGGTGTTAAATAAACAAAATTTATTGTCGGAAAAGAACTAGAAAAATCATAAAAATATTATAACCAATATGCAAAATATTATAGCCAACCTATAAATTCAAAATTTTGGGTGGGATAAAGTATCTCATTACAGCACAGAAAGCGGTGTTATAATGAAGTCATTATGACCGCAAAATAGATAAAAATATTCTTACCTTCTTTCTTTCGAAAAAAGTAATAATGTTTTTTGAAAAAGTAAGAAAAAAAAATATAGTTCTGAATGTTTTTTTCTTATATGTATTTTAAACTATATTTAAAAACGAAGGTTAAGAAGTAAGGCTTTTTGTGCTAAGCTCAAGGTTTGAAGGCCGATGCGTAGCGGAGGCCTACGATTGAGCAAAGCACAAAAAGGCACTTCTTGGCCGAATGGCATACAACCTTTTATCTTCAAAGCACTTTATATATGTTAATTAAATTCAACATCAAAGCGGCCTAACCTCACTTTTTTAGAATGATTTAAGTAGAAATGGATTTTTGCTATAACATTGAATTCAATTAATTGTTTAATAAATAGGTAGGTAATTTTAATTTGTTTGGATTTTTATTTATAAAATAGGTAGTTTGGAATGTTTAAGCTGTGTTTAACATTTAATTATACTGAAAACTTAAAGCAAATTAAAACTTAAAGATAATTTAAATCGTAGAAAAAGAATCGTGCGTTTTCTTGGTTGCCTAACCTCACTTATTTTTTATTATTCATATTTAATTTTACAATAATTTAATGAAAAATATTAAACATTAACAGTAAAACAATTAGGTTTTCTCTACCTAAAAAATCCGCAGTGGTATTGTTAGTTAAGAAAAGAAAAAGTGTTTTTAATTGAGTATAAATGGATATAAAAGTTTTAGCCACTGATTATTTTGTAGTTTTGTCGATACAAATGTCAAATCGGGATGTCTTGGTGGCCACAACAAAAAATCTCATATTTTTTAGTGGTTTGACACCATGCGCGACGTCACCATGGCCGAGGTGTCAAATCTGGGACTGTAGGTGGCCACTTTCAAAAAACTCATGTTCCACTGATTTTTTGGTGGTTGCGGCAACAGGGCCCCGCTATTCGCCTTCCGTGACGTAACATCCGAACTATTCCTGGCTACCCGAGCTACTTCAGCGCCTGGGAAGGCACATGACCGGCGCGCGCTTGTAACCCCACGAACGCCTATAACGTCCTCGTTCACTTGAAGTTCGGTGCGCGATCCGTACGCAACTTAAAAGCAACTCGTTACCATACCCGTTGAAACAACACACAGAAACAGCAAGCATGTCTTTTACCGATCCCGTTGCCTTCATGAAGGATTTCCTCGCAGGAGGAATATCCGCCGCCGTCTCCAAAACCTGTGTGGCTCCCATCGAACGTGTCAAGTTGCTTCTCCAAGTACAACACATCTCCAAGCAGATCGCAGAAAATCAACGTTACAAGGGTGAGAACAAACAATACTACTATTTTTACGACTATTGCTTTTATAATCTCAGTCGCCTGTGAAAAAATAACGCCAAAAATACCATGGAAACCCGACAAATTTTGAAGTTACATAACACTCCAAACCAATCCAATTATAACCACTACTTTGCCGTAACGGTTTTGTAACATCATTACACCCACAAAACCCTAATTCAAGCATTCAAATTAACCTTAAGATTAATTATAAGTAATACTCTAAAACGTGGCGTTACACGTTGTAAAAAGTTTATCAAGGCCAAGTCTACCATATTGAATATTAATTGGCGCCCATACTTTCCACCCCAACTATCTAAATATGCCCTAAAAACCTTTAAGATCACCCAAAAACCCCAAGCCGGAAAATCGATAATGACCTAATACCAACTTGGCGACCCAAAAATCGAAATTAGCTTTCTGGCACACGATTGCATAAACCTCTCAATCAACTTGAATTATTCCCATTTCAAACGCTTAACATGTGACAAGCGGGCCGAGGAAAAACCGAATAAAATGGCGGCCGACGCGCGTAGTCGATACGTCATCAGGTAGGCGCTGGCAATTGTCACTTACGTCAAGGTTACTAGATCTAGCTGGTGGTTTTTTGTTATGTAACGTAATTTAAATAAAAATTAAAATTCGCTGTTAAGTTCATTGATTCCTTCTGAAATGCTCGAGGATGAGTCATGGGAGAGTTCTCTTATACACTGCCCGACAAAATTATAAGAATTAGCGTGTTTTTAACCTCAATATATTAACAGGAAATTGACTAAGCATGTTATCTGCCTTATATTCTATACATTTTATAATTTGTAGTTCCCTAGAAAATATTTAAACAACAAGTATACATTCTTTAAGTGTTTTTTAAGAATTCAGATGTTTTTGGTTATTTCTAGCTTCAATTGAGATTAATCATTCAAATTATACTCAATAAAATCATTGCAAATATCCACCTTGGACTTTCAACTGGTATAAATACAATGTACCAACTAAAAATTTAATTAATTTAGTTTTTAAGATAAGTTTTAAAATTTCGCTTTTAACTATCTACATAAATAAAACCTTGAATAAGATACGTTTTTGATAAGATAATTGACGCTACTTTAAATAGACAATTAAAAATATTATAATTACAGAAATTGTCATGTAAAATACAAAATAAAATGAGTACAGAGAAATTTCATGGTGCTAAAATAAAATATACTTTAGCCCACCCAAAATTTTGATTTTATAGGTTGGATATACTTTAAGCAGCATAATATTTTTATGATTTTTCTAGTACTTACGAGACTTTTCTGGCAATAAATTTTGTTCAACACCAAAGAAAATCCTTTTTTTCTTCTTTAACATTAACAGCCGCTTATTGTAAATAAGTCAATTAAGGACGGCATGGCGAATCGATTTTGACATTAACTGTCAAACCAATGACTGTGATACCAACTATCTAAAGTTAAATTCGACCAAATTAAATTTAAGGTATAAAATTAATTTTTTTATAGAATTTTTGCAAAATAGATCAAATAGCATAAAGAACTCATGTCGTAAGACATTTTGCCGCCCTCGTCCATTACAAAACTGTATCTCCACGATTTTTAGGAATAAATTAATAAAATTTGAAATGAATATTAGGAATATTTTTATTAATAACATAATAAAATTTCAAATCTTAAACGTCATTATTTTTGGCGTTATAAGGGTTTAAAATCAATCCCACTCTTTTTCACATCTTGAGGAGACTACAGCTCACTAAAACACAAAGATTTGTAAATTATAAATTTTCGATATTTTTTTACTTTAAATTTTCGCCTTACAAATAAGTATAGATTACATACACTATATTTCGTAAATGTGTCTATAGTCTGTTTAGAGAGTGAAAAATATTGGGATTTTACTAAATTACCTATATCTCTACGATTTCTTAAGATAAGTTGGCGAAATTTGGAATGGAAATTAAGAATGTCTTTAGTAACAACATACCAAAATGTGAAACCTTAAACTTCATTATTTTTAGCGTTATAAGTCTTTTTTACATTTTGAACATTTTTCAGGTATGGTAGATTGTTTCGTCAGAATCCCCAAGGAACAAGGAGTGTTGGCCTACTGGCGTGGTAACACCGCCAACGTCATCCGTTACTTCCCAACCCAGGCTCTCAACTTTGCCTTCAAGGACAAGTACAAGCAGATCTTCTTGAGCGGTGTAGACAAGAACACCCAATTCTGGCGTTACTTCATGGGTAATTTGGCATCCGGTGGTGCCGCCGGTGCGACCTCCCTTTGCTTCGTCTACCCACTCGATTTCGCCAGAACCAGGTAAAAATTGCACAAATCGGCAACGCTGCGCTAATACAAAACTCGCTATTTTGACGCAAATTTTACAGATATTGGTTAACTTTTTGACGTTTCTTTATGATTATTTCCCTCATTATAATATGAACCAATCAAAAGCCTTGAATTTTCGAATTAATTTCGTTTACATAAGCGATTAAATTTTAGCCTCCATATTGGATTTTTGTTTACGATTTTATGGTGTTATTTACAAGTTTTAACAAACATTTTTTAAAAAACAATAAAAAATAAGTTATCTAGTTTACGAAATATCAATTATTACTTATTACATACCTTAAATTAATGGAATTTTCTTTAAAAAAATATTTATAAATTTTGACAAATACGTCAGATTTTATGAATTGTCAAATAGTTTCCTTTAATTCGAGAAATAATCTAGACGTATATCACAACCTATAAATTTAATCTGTCAAACTATGCTCAGTAAGTTTTTTATTTGATTTTTCTTTTTGGAAAATAGTTTTATGCAAAATAATTAAAAATAAAACCCCTCGACCGCTACGCGGACTCGTGATTTTATTAAATTATTTTGCATTCAACATTTTCCAACAAAAACCAAACAAAAATTTACTGAGCCTAGTTTAACTGATTAAATTCATAGTTCTCGTGATATAATATATGATTATAATTAAATTTTTGTTGATTGTTTGATATGAGGCGCTGTAGAAAATAAATATAATGTGTCTCACAAAATATAGAATTAAACAGAAAATGTATAGAAAACACAAAATAAAATATAACAAAACATAAAATATAACGCACAAATTTCAAGAAGACTAATAGCATCAAATCCCTGAAAAATTTTGCAACTTCATCTATCCTTGGCAGATTCAACTCCATCGTTTCCAATTAAAGCTATAAATTAAAATTAAAACCCAAAAGGATGTAAAGAAAACCTTAAAAACTTACCGCATTGGCAAAAAATCTCCCACTATTAGTCTTCTTGAAACGTATGCGTCGAGCGCCATCTAACGGTCAAGTGAGGGACCCGAGTTTTAATTTGTTGTTGGCTTTTATGTTTTGTTTGATTTTTTATATTTTATTTGTTTTATTACAGGTAAATTATATGTTTTGTTGAATTTTATTTTTTTCGTTATGTTTATTTGTTTTGTTATAATTTATATACCTATTTTGTGTTTTCTATACATTTTCCCTTAAATTCTATATTTTGTGAGAGATATATTTATTTTCTACACTTCTATTTTCTCATAGTTTAAACATTACAATTAAAGTTACTAAAAACACGTGTATAATTATTTTTATCTATTTTGCGTTCATAATGACTTCATTATAACACCACTTTTGGTGCGGTAATGAGATACTTTATCCCACCCAAAATTTTGATTTTATAGGTTTTATATTTTTATGACTTTTCTAGTACTTACGAGACTTTTCTGGCAATAAATTTTGTTTAACACCAAAGAAAATCCTATTTTTCTTCTTTAACATTAACAGTCGCTTATTGTAAATAATTAGGACGGCATGTCGAATCGATTTTGACATTAACTGTCAAACCAATGACTGTGATACCAACTATCTAAAGTAAAATTCGACCAAATTAAATTTAAGGTATAAAATTATTTTTTTTTTGTAGAATTTATGCAAAATAGATAAAATAGCATAAAGAACTAACGTCTTATGACATTAGTTCTTTAATATACCAATAGCTAACCACATCCTGTGAAAAATCAGGTCTCCAATCAAATCTAAAATATTTATTTCCACTTAACGTTAGCGTCAGCATGACACGAAAATTTACAAAATAGGTCATTTAAATGACTGATAAAACTTGATAGTCCACACTTAATAATATAAAACATTCTGCAATCTAAATATTAGATTATAGGTCCAAATTTTTTATCAAATAATCGCAGTTAAAATTTAGACTGGCCTAAAAGTTAATTATAGAATAGGTAGGTACTTACAAGTAAAAATCCCATTTATTACAACATTAGTTTTCGTAAATACTCCTGAGATTAAAGGAATATTTTTCGAGGTTAAATGTCAGTCAATAACCGTCTACAACCGACTTTATCGTTAATATTTAATATTAAAAAAATACCATTCTTAGTAACCTCTAAATAATGACAAATGTCAAATAAAACGTCACTTTCACGGCCCACTGAAGTTGTTTTATGCGACTCATTTGACGTAACAAGATGGCGAAGTTTAACGTTTTACGAAATCTTTTATTTTCCAGATTAAATTTCATAAAAAAATTATGTCCTTGATTTGAATCTACGTAGACGCACGAGTTTTTGATGAATTTCTTATCAAATTGTGTATGTAAATAGCAATGTAGTTTTAAGTTTAAAATTTTGATTCAAAACATAATACGTAATATTATTGGGATTGTATTTTTAAAACCAATGTCAACCGTTTGAGGCCAAGTTTTTAATGGACTTTGTTAGATAATAGGAATTAAAAATAACACCATTTTAATTTACATAAGTATTACTTTGCATTTTAAAACGTTTATTGCGAGGATACTACCCTGATAGCAAAATTTGATTCTAAGAATCTTCTAAGAAGATATGACCCGGAATAATGGAATATTCTTAGAACCTTTCCTTATTGCTAAGAATGTTCTTAGGGACTTTTAAAACATTCAATAGATAATGCAATTAGATTCTTGGAAGCTTCTTAAAACCTTCCTAAAAAGCATTCTAAGAACATTTTAAGAATACGTTTTTGGAATGTTCTTAGAAGGTTTCTTATGGAGCTTCTAGGAAGCTTTTGAGAATATTTCCAAATATGTCAGATACCCACGTTCTAATATGTTGGATTCTACATTTGTAAAATTCTTCAGGAGGCGACAAATACGCCTCACTGTCATAATATGACAGTGAAACGTATTTGTCGTCCCCTTAAAAAATTTTGCGACATATTAATATATATTTATTTAAAAATATTAAATAAACAATTTGACCTCTAAACCATAAGTTGTATGACATTATTTCATAAAAAGTAAAATTGGAAAATTTTGTGGGATAAGTCAGATTAGATTGAAGTTGAAGATAGTTAAGATTATTATACATAAAAATGTTAATTCAGAAATAATAAATCGGTATACAAATTAATAAATATTTATTTTTAACATAAAAGAAAAAACCAAATAGTTCTTCATAAAAAAAAACATTTTTCATTGTATTTAAGTTTGATAGAAGATTTTATGTAAAAGCCGGATAATTTAGATACCTATAGTAGAAGTATTTTTGTTTTCGAATATTGTTTTAATTTAACAAATAACTATAAAAAAATATTTTGGGTTGTGTTTTTTACTTAGTATTTAATAATAAGTATAGGTACCATTATACGTAGATTATGGTATATTTTACTATTATATAGGTACCTGTGAATTGAATATGCTTAACAGAATGTTCCAGGAATATTCCTAAATGAACTTTCTATAGCAATAACTTTCTTAACATTCTAAGCATATGTTTATAGTGGATTAATTTTTACCACTAAACTTTGCACCTTCTAAAAACCTGCCTATAGGCCAGTGAGAATATTCTTAGGATTATGCTATATTTCTTTTAAGCATGTTCTTTAGAAGAAATATAGCATGATCCTAAGAATATTCTCACTGGAAGGTTTAAAAAACATTCTTAGAACATAACTAGAAGAAATATAGCATGATCCTAAGAATATTCCCACTGGAAGGTGTAAAAAACATTCTTAGAATAAACTGTGCTATCAGGGTAAATGCTCGTTACACCCGAATTTTGTCTAATATTTCGTTATTTTCTTCAGATTGGCCGCCGATGTCGGTAAAGCTGGCGGTGAGCGCGAATTCAGCGGACTGGGTAACTGCCTGACCAAAATCTACAAAGCCGACGGTCTTGGTGGATTGTACCGTGGTTTCGGTGTATCCGTCCAAGGTATCATCATCTACCGTGCTGCCTTCTTCGGCTTCTACGACACCGCCAAGGGCATCCTTCCCAACCCCAAGAACACCCCATTGCTCATCTCATGGGCCATCGCCCAGGTAAGAACAAAAAACAGAGATATCTCAGCAACGACTTGAATTAGAAATTCGAAATTAGCTGCAAATGTTAAGGAAGTCTTCCTTTACTACGTGCTAAAATTTCAGGATTTTAAGTCGTGTCGTTTTTGAGATACAGGGTGTTAAAGATGAGATGTCATAATTTTAACCTTTTGTGTATATCTCGAAAACTACCCAAGATAAAGTGTTTATATTTGGCGATAAGTTATTTATATTAACCCTTTATATCATACTAAAATATTATAATTATACTACTACTATGTTGGAGTATACAGCACGACAAAGTCAGCAATGATGCAATCATGGTTTGCTTCTTAAACTTTATTTGTTTTTATCTCAAAAACAAAAAAACAGAGAAACTTCAAATTTGGTTTATAGTTGCACATGTTTATCTTCTATACCGTGTCAAAATGGTTTTAAAGTTATAGAACCTTGTAGATCAAATGTGGTATTTTTTCAACTTCCAAATTTGAAACACTTATATTTTAAAAAGTTTTAAAGTTATTAACTTCAAATTTGCTGTGAAGTTTGGTTTACTTGTTTCTTATAACATGTCCAAATTTCAAACTTATAGCTATTACAGATTTTATATTTTTTGACCTGGAGCATGACGCTGTAATTTTACCATTCCGCGCTTTAATTGTTTTTATCTTGAAAAGTTTTAAAGTTGGAAGCTTCAAATTTGGTGGAAAGTTAGACAAAAATATCGTTGATAATATATTTAAATTTTAGTGTATCGGCATTAACAGTTTTTCTGCCTTTTGCATGAAAATGTCATTTTATTTCATCCCAACTTTAAATGCTTTTATCTTGCAAGTTGTGGAGTAATAAACTTCAAATTCGGTGTGAAGTTGGTTTAAAATACAAAATTGGGTTTCGTTAATACTCCCGCGATTAAAGGAATATTTTTTAAGGTTAAATGTCGGTCAATAACCGTCTACAATCGACCTTATCGTTAATATTTAATATTAAAAAATACCATTCATAGTCATTTTTCAATTCTAACCTCTAAATAATGACAAATGTCAAATAAAACGTCGTTTCAAGGCCCCTATAAATGATTTTATGTGACGTAACAACTACCAAATTTCAAACCCCTTTATTTTAAAAAGTTTTAAAGTTATTATCTTTAAATTTGGTGTGAAGTTTTGTTTATTTGTTTTTTATAACATGTCCAAATTTCAAATTTATAGCTTTTACAGATTTTTTGTTTTTTGACCTGGAGTATGACGTTGTAATTTTACTATTCAGCACTTTAATTGTATTTATCTTGAAGAGTTTTGAAGTTTGGAGGTTGAAATTTGGTGGAAAGTTGGATGAAAATATCGTTGATAATATATTTAAATATTTGTGTAAAGGCATTTACAGTTTTTCTGCCTTTTGCATGAAAATGTCATTTTATTTCATCCCAACTTTAAATGCTTTTATCTTGCAAGTTGTGGAGTGATAAACTTCAAATTCGGTGTGAAGTTGGTTTAAAATACAAAATTAGGTTTCGGAAATACTTCCGCGATTAAAGGAATATTTTTTGAGGTTAAATGTCGGTCAATAACCGTCTACAAACGACCTTATCGTTAATATTTAATATTAAAAAATACCATTCATGGTAATTTTTCAATTCTAACCTCTAAATAATGACAAATGTCAAATAAAACGTGTTTCAAGGCCCACTTAAATGATTTTATGTGACGTAACAAGATGGCGAAATTTTCCAGATAAAATGTTTTTTTAACTACCACTTCAAACCTGTTTATTTTAAAAAGTTTTAAAGTTAATAACTTTAAATTTGGTGTCAAGTTTGGTTTATTTGTTTCTTATAACATGTCCAAATTTCAAATTTATAGCTTTTACAGATTTTTTGTTTTTTGACCTGGAGCATGACGGGGTAATTTTACTATTCGGCACTTTAATTGTTTTTATCTTGAAGAGTTTTGAAGTTGGGAGGTTCAAATTTGGTGGAAAGTTAGATGAAAATATCGTTAATAATATATTTAAATATTGGAGTATAGGTATTTACAGTTTTTCTGTTTTTCTACCTTTTGCGTGAAAATGTCATTTATTTCATCCCAACTTTAAATGCTTTTATCTTGGAAAGTTGTGGAGTTAGAAACTTCAAATTTGGTGTGAAGTTGGCTTAAAATACGCTTAATTTCAGACCGTGACCACCATCGCCGGTATCATCTCCTACCCCTTCGACACAGTCCGTAGGCGTATGATGATGCAATCCGGTCGCGCGCAAAAGGACATCATCTACAAGAGCACCGTCCACTGTTGGGCCACCATCGCCAAACAGGAGGGCACCGGCGCCTTCTTCAAGGGGGCCTTCTCCAACGTACTCAGAGGTACCGGTGGAGCCATCGTCTTGGTCATGTACGACGAAATCAAGGCAGTCATCATGTAAAGTGTTTGCAAGCAGTCATTTTTTAAAAGCGTCATTTTTTAAAAACACTCCAGTCGAAAGTTCCTCCGGGAGCATTTTAGCAAAATTTTGGGCTTCGAGCTGTGCCGTTTTAACCGACAACCGAACTAAACAGGTTTTGTTGTCTACCCTCGCGGGTACGCGGCGCAGCTGGGAATCGCACTGTATATAATAGATGTACTTTATTTATTTTCAAATCAAATAACCGCGTACCATCCTCCGAGAACAAAGTGGGGACTTGAAGACTTTTTTTTTCGTCCCTTTCAAAAATGCAAGTATGTAGTTCCATTGCCACAGCTCCTGTAGGTTTAATTATTAATTAATATTATTGTATGTTTTAAGTTGTTGCGGATCGCCAAACTTGTACTATACGTTGTAAAGCACTGTATCTTTTCAAACTGAGATGCAAGTTACCTGTTAAAACAAAATTGTTTATATATTCTTGCCATCAAAATTATTGATGGTAATAATAATAATAAAATAAATCCAAACGATTTCTCTGCCTTTTACTAATTTACCATCCAGTTGCAATAGAAAGTCAACTAAAGTTATGGAAATCAACTGGTAAGTATTACATAAGTTAGTAACTAACTTATATTTTTAAACATAAGCTCACAATCCACACAACAAGGTCTGTTCTATCTCGTACTAAAAATACAAAAAATCACTGCAACACTGCTTTGGGTTTGTGCTCTGTTTATACAGATTAATAATCGTTTTAAACGTTCTGTTTCTCATAGTAAGCCTTAAAAGAGTCCTTAAAGTGCTAAGAACAACCATTTTACTCCTCTATTGTAAAAAATAAACTTTATTCTATCAGGGCTGTCATAAAACTGTCAAATGTAAATTTTAAGGTTAAATTATAACCCACAAATTAACCTTCAAATTGTAATTTGACAGCCCTGATAGAATAAGGTATATTTATAATAAAAGAGGAGTAAAATGGTTGTCCTTAGCACTTAAAGGCCTTATTAGAGGCTTACAAGTGCCTCTGTAAAAAACACAACGTTTAAAACAATTATTAAACAGCACAAACCCAAAGCACAAGAGTTGTAAACAACAAAAATGGCCGCCGTTAAACTCTGTACAGTGTTGCAGTGATTTTTAGTATTTTTAGCATGAGATAGAACAGACCTTGTTGTGTGGATTGTGGTTTAAACTAAATCAAAAGATGAACCGTCACTGTTGGCCGTTTAAACGAAGTTCAACTTGACATAACTTAATTTTTCTCTGCTTTATTGTGTATTACGTTGTTTATTTCTTGTTTTGTGATCTTCTGTTATAATAAACCAATGGATATGTTTGAGGTAGTTAGTGAGGATGATGAGGAAATTGGCAAATTCCTAAATAATATTCAACTTCGTGTGCACAAGCCACGGGTAAGACTGAATCATTTTGCAAGGTGGAATAATGATGCATTTTTTGCCAGATTTCGGTTTTCCAAACCTTTTGTACGTAAGTACGTAGGATAGTGGATTTAATTAAACCAGTTATTGCAAATCCGACCAATAAGTTAGTTATAAAAATAATTACTGAATAAGTAATGGATAAAATTAATCACATGTAACAAAAAACGACAAATTCATTTTATACCTACTATAAAATAAAATACATACCAATAATTTCTCCTTAATAATAAATATTATTTACTGTTCTTTAACAGATTAGAACTTTATAAAACAGCACAGATAAACAAAACTCCAAAAGTAAAAACACAAAATCCTTTTGTCAAAATGACAGTTTTAACCACTATTAATGTAGGGCCTACATTGTAGGCGTATACTAAATTCGGTTGTACCAACTTAACGTTGACACCGCTGATCTAAGTTCAACAGAACTGCTGTTGAGTCGACATTGCAAAACTCATTCGACTGTAAACTGAGTTCATTAACTGATCTAAGTTCCCCTGAACCAAGGTTTAAACCCTAATTGAAAAACCGGCCCTAAAAGTTACAATACACTAATCTCATTGTCAGGTTTACTATTAGGCAACCATTATTTATTTGTAATCTGTGTTGCCTAATATGTAAACTAAATACTGCACAATCAGGCCAATTCACTAACATGAGTCGTTAACGTTAGCCACTAGATTTAGTGGTTATCGTTATATTTAAACGGCCTGATTGGTAGTATTGGCCGATAACCACTGATTCTAGTGGCTAACGTTAACGACTTATGTTACTGAATTGGCCTGAATATCTCAATAGTAAAAACTATTTATTGACCTGAATAATTTTATTATTGACGCTAATTTAGATATACGTGGTAGAACTAGAAAATGTCATGGGAAAATCAAAAATAAAATGAACTTTAAGGGAAAAATTGTTTAAGTTTTATTAATAACACTAAAATTATTATTTTTCAACTTAAGAAGACTATAGGTATCAGTGAAAACCAAAATTTGAAATGGTATGATTTTACTAAATTACCTATATCTCTACGATTTTTTAAGATAACTTAACGAAATTTGGAATAAAAATTAAGAATGTCTTTAATAATAACATACTACAATTTAAAAATTTTAAACTTCATTATATTTGGCTTTATAAGGGTTTAAAGTCAACCCCACTCTTTTTTAAATTTTGGATAGAAAATTATTTTTATTATTTTCTTTCAGGTATGGTTGATTAATCTCAACGATAATAAGTATTATATAAACTATTTTTTTACCTAAATCATTATACTATTTATTAATTTAATTAATAATCTATTTTTAGTTTATAATTGGGATCCCAAGAAAAACACTTTTAATTGGCGAAATAATATTTATTGTGAACACTAATAAATATCAACAGTAACAAAATGAAAATATTAATCCTTAAATATTAAATGCCTTAAGCTAATAAAAGACTAAATTAGCAAATTTACATTTATGAATAATTATTACAGTAAAAGATACAAAATTATTACAACATTCTCTAAACAAGACAAGTTAGTGGTATACATCTTTTAAAATGGAGCAATTTTTTCAATTTCACTTAAACAGTACGTAAAATAATGTGACAACCAGAGTCAGTAAAAATAGGTTCGGACAATTCCCCCACTTTTAGGGCAAAGGAGGCCTCTTCAAAGGGTTTTTGCATGGCCCCTTTGCCAAAGGGGCCCAAATCGCCCCCACGCTTTGCCGAGGAACAGTCTGAGTGTTTGGAAGCCAATTCCGCAAACGAGGCCTTACCTGACACTATTTGTTCCCTATAGGCTACAAAAAAAAATTCGTTAGATGGCCACTAACTTATGTTATGGTTGTAACAACCAGCGTATTCAGATTCTGTCAAAAAAGTTGCCAAATTTTGTTTAAATTTAGCTTAATGCAAATTGTTAATTTGGCGTTTTTATTAATTGTTTATTATGTCATTTTTGTAATGAAGGTAAATTCAAACAAAATCTGGCAACTTTCATGACATTATCTAGTGTATTTCTTTCAAATTTTAGGTTATATGCTCAAATTGTAAATATCATAACTAAGGGAAGTGCTTTTGGATTTATTTACACAAATTGAATGTTTAAAGTTTAACCTGTAAACTTGTCCTAATTTCATCTGAGTAAACAGAAAAAAAAAACGACGACAAAATTAATTTTACTAAATTTTCTAATCATTGCTTAAGCTAATAGCTGGATGAGTAAATAAATGCAGAAGGGTATTAGAGCTTTAAGTGCATAAAACTTTTGTATTTATTGAGTTTTATTTATTTTTTGCAAGAAAAATTTTTAGTAACAATTTTTTACAACTGGCAACGCGCAGCTACTTTGTAGGTTGGTATCTATGTACTCACAGAAAACAAGTGTGTAACCAGTGGCTTATCACAAAAAATATAAAAAACTTCCAATGCATATTTTTTCTTTATCTTTGGGAAAATATTTTTAAAAATATTTTTTCGTCACACCTTATGTCAAAAGGTATTCAGTATTTTAATATATTACATTAATTACATAAGACAAAGAAATTGGATAAAAATGTAGATTAATGTGTATGTTTTACATGTAAAATTTACTTATTTTTAATATTCCCAGGAATTCCTTTTCTTCCAATTTTTAAATTTCCTTTAATGGGATTGTAATGAATTAATTTTTTTCTAATTTTATCGACCTTGTAGTTCTTAAAATAAAAAATTTCCCATAGATGTATAAACCATTAAAGGGCGTTTTTCCTCAAAATTACAGTCCAACGTATTGCGAAATTTAAAAGAAAACAAAAAAAATCGTACTTAAAATATGAGTGCATTATGTATTCAATACAAAACACATTTAAATTTTTGTTGTATTTTTTAGTATTATTTATCGAAATTGTTAATTTTTTTAATAATATTTTAGCATTACTTTCTTTGTGATTTTAACAATAAAAATTTACTCAAGAAATTCACCAAGTTTAGGTCATAATTCTGTTTAAAAAAATATTTAAAAAAAAGAATTAGAATAAAAAATTTGACTAAAAAGTTATCTGGAATATTTGGAATTTAAAATATATTTTTGACATTTTTAATAAATTTTAACTTTTTATTTTTAAAACGTCATTAGAACATTATTTTTAATCCCTTTAGGGAATGACAGGCAATTTTCTTGATTTAAGTAAATATGTTGTTAAAATAACTTTAAATTTTTTTTAAAGTTATTTAATAAGTTTTATTTATTATTTATTATATTAATAACCCTCAAGTTTCAACACTTTAAAGTATTATAAGGGACGTAATTTTTACGAAAAAAAATTACTTATAAGTGTATTTCACCGTAAGGAAAATTTAACGGTAATTTTAACGTCAGAATTTTTACTTAATGGCAAATGTTACTCATAAGTCATAATTTTACGATATTAAGACCACTCTATAACCGTAAATAATTCCTATTCGCCTGGTATTTTTTAGGGTTATTAGTGGTAATAAATACTATTAATATTGACTAAACAAGGAAAAATAAGCTTAAAGTGAAAAATAAAACTTTTTTTCAGGTCGCCATAATGAGTTTTTTAAGATGGCATCCATTACTAAATAATTTTTAAAAGATTTTATAAAATTTTGTAGATTTTAAGTTTTGTTGAATTTTTACCCAAGCAATAATTTTTCTTAAAACCGTAAAATATTTAGAGGGCATATAATTTTTAAGATGTGTCGTGCCTATTTTTATCAATAAAATAATGTGAGTTTGAGTTTTAATGCAAAATATTATTAGTTTTGACAATTTAAGTTATATTTTTTAATTTTACTCTAGGGTGACCTTTATTACTTTGTAAGTACCATTTTGTAAAATATAAATCAAAAGAACAAAGAAATTACGAATGTCAATGTTTTAGAAAGAGAGAGCAAACAATTAGTAATTATAGCGTTATTTTTACGTAAATTTGTGGAATTTATATGGTTTTTATTATGTTATTCTATTAGTAGATCAAGCTAACTTTAAATAACTTGAAAACCATATTAGTATTTGTTGTTTTTTTGGGACAAAAAAAACTAAACCATAATACAAATATTTGCATCATGGTCTAATACATTTTAAAACTGTCTCAAATACCTACCATATTAAGTGTATATAAAAAAATTTAAATACAGCAACTTTTTGACATTAAAAAAGTATATTTGATTACATCTGGCAACATCGATAAATTTAAAAAGTAAGGCTTACATTTCACCAATTCATGGGCTTCTTCCTTGGTACGGGTAATATTTTCCTCCTTCCAGGAAGAGGGTCGTCTGGAATCCCTGTGTTTAACTAATAAATGAGAACACTGGACTTGATCTGGTCCTGCCGAAGAGGCAGGACCTGCAGGTTTGTCCGGAACGTCCCATTGAGATTCCTTCGTGTATACGTTTAGATAATAATGCTGGCCTACAATAAAATCATCAAAATATTTACCTACAGCTACAACCATGTTTGACTTTAAATACTCCCAAAAAGTTATTAAGATAAAGTGTCAAAAGAATGTGAACTTTAAATGTCTTAAAAATGTTAACATAAACAAACAACTGATTTAGTTTCAGAAAAAATAGGTATTGAAATCAGTGACCGCCTTTTTAGGACCATGTAAACAACGCCTTTAACCTGCAAGTTAAGTACAGTTACAACGTCGCAAATTTTATGCAAAGCTGAAAACGTAGTTGACACCACAATAAATAAAATGCAAATATTAATTACCGGTAGATCGGCTCATCCGTTTTTCCCATCCGGCGGGTAACTGTTCGTCGGCCATTTTTCTATCGAATCAAGCGCATGTGTTTGATTTGCGGCTAACTTCACGCGCAGCGTTGCCGGGTTAGTTTCATAGCGAGGCGAAATATTTTCAAATTTATAGATTGTCTTCCTTTCTCCCGTAGAAGATGAACAATACGAAAAACGTAGTGCCATTTATATATTCCCGTACGGGAATCTTTAAAAAGCACAACAGTTTTTGACAAAAATTTTGTATTGTTCATCTTCTACGGGAGGGAGGAAGGAAGGCAATCTATAAATCAAGCTTAATGCAAACACAAAATATACAGTGACCTTTTAAATACACATTGACATATTGTGGCTTTATGGCGCTTTAGTCACGGGCTGAAGTTAGTTTTAAGTTAGTTGACATTTGTCAAATGTCATACCTATAATCGTTAAAATAAAGTGCCTTTTTTTTAAAATAATACTAAATGTGAAAATTATTTTATTATCTCAATACAAAAATACAAAATTATTTAATAGTTTCTCAACGTCAATATTTGAAAAGTTTATATGAACATTGTACTGACCTTTTAATTTCGCCGGCAGTAAACTATAACTTAAATTCGGGCACGGACTCCATTGTAAAGTGCTCATAAAACATTTTCTTTACTTTCACTGTGAAAAACTGTCAATTTTTAAGAAATACATTTCGATTTATAACCTTTATAATCTGTGTTTATAAACTATTAAAATTTGACATTTGACGGTGACACACAGTTTCCCCTATTGTTTCATAGATAGCGCTCTATAAAATTTTTTGATTTAAATCATTTTAAGATAATAATAAGTATTTGTCGTAGATAAAGTATAGTATGCACCTCGTTTATAAACTTTTCTATACACTCATTAATTTAAGCACTTGCTCGCAAGCTCGCTTGTGCCTAAATTAAATTCGTGTTTAAAATGGCGTTTATCAAACTTGATACATAATATACTATTATTCGAGTTTTAAAACATAAAAATTACACTGCTGTAGCAAAATAAAAAAAATATGTACGACTTAATAAATGTCAAAAAAAGCTAACCCGGCAACACCGCTAACGCGAAACGAACGCCAATCGATTTGTTTTCGTCGATTGCCGTAAAAATGCGCCTACACGATTGGCGGGGATTTTTAATTCGAATCGAACGCACCAATGATACGATGGGAAATTGCCCGAACACGTGTAGGAATGGGTAAAACAACCGTGACATTAGCCGCGATACATTTGATAATCAGCTGGGGCGGTGGTGGTTTGTTCTGTGGGGCGGTGACAGTTCGATTTTATTCGCGTTTGTGGAAGGAGGACGCTCGGCACGCAGAAGAATTCGAGATTACAACGGGTTTTTTAATTTATGTATCAAGTTTTCGGTGTTTTTAAGCGGAAATAGAAAATTATGGACGATTTTTAATTGTAAACTGTTTGGCAGGGTTTGTGTTTTATTGTACCCCATCTGTGTTTGTTTTGTGAAAGTGCGGGGGTGTTGATTATTGGCCAACTAGACGGAGGACTAATAATAAATCTGCATAAATATCAAGGTAACTATACAAAAACTTTGTTTAATCCCTGTTAAAGTAAGTTTAAGCCTTTGCATTTTTAATAAGTGGGTCATAGACGGAAAAACTCATTAAAAATGCTTTAGAAAGGCAAAATAAAGTTAACATAGCTTAATTTTGGTTAAATAATTTAACCGACACCTGTTAACAACGGGTCAAGTTGGCGTTTCATGAGTCACTTAATTATAATAAATAATTATTTATTTAACGTTCAAATATTGGGTTTTGCAATGAAAAACTTGATTTTAAGTAGGCATGCAATTAAATAATTCAAGGTAACTTTAATCGAATAGTTGCGTTACCTAACCATTACATTATTTATTTATACAAGAATAATACTAATAATAAAGGTAGCTATCTACTTCCGCAATTATAATAATAATAATAAGCTTGTTTGTAGGTACTTTTTAATCTTTAATTAGAGATTTTGTGAATACGGTATTCAGAATACCATCACTATATTTACTTTCTTTTGTAGAAATTATAAACCAACGTAACTATTCGAAATACAAGTTCTAACACAAACAGGTTTAAAAATGACGTCAAAGTCAACTTGACTCACAACTTGGGATGGTTTTTTTAACTTAAAAACATTTGACTCGCGTTAAATACAGTCTGTTCCACATGACAGACACCATCGTAAATGTTGTTAGCTGTAAATCATCTTTTGGTTTAAAGAACTGTACATTTTCGACGTCATTAGTAAATGATAAATTTCCAGCCATTAGTATTTATATCACGAGTTGTAAATTAATGGACACCATTATTGTTGATGGCATAATTTTTATATATCGACGGGTTAACGAACCCATAGGCTTAAGAAATCAATTTTGAGTTATAAGATCAAAAAACAATGATTTGTTAAGATGAGGAATTTTTAAAATAAAATTAAATGCTTTTACAGGAAACTCATTGTTACAGTTACATGGAAGTCCAGTAAATTACACTATTTACTTGCACTTACTAAGTAAGTAGGTAGTTACTTTTCTCTTGTAGATATAATTGCATTGTTTTTTTTAAATACAGTAATTTTCTTCTTTCTTTTATACCCACATAACAGCATTGTAATTTTAGTTTTACTAACCATTAATATTTGGAATGTCATGACCTATATATAGATACAATAGATCAATATGGAATGGGTATTAAAATACCTATAATGAGTTTTAAAGGACATTAGAAGTTTAGGGCTCTAAATAAAAAAAGAAAATACAACAATTATTAACCTACCTAATTAATTTTAAATTAATTTGAGAAATAGGACAGTTGTCCTTGTAGATGACAGTTGTCCTATTGGATGACTTATTATAACAAATAAATTCAATAAAGTTACTATAAAAAACATTTTCTTGGAAATTGTTGCATTGTGCATATGATTTGCCACAGTACCTACCTCATAGTCTGTTAGTGTGCATAATTTAAGAGGATGCCAATATGGTGTGCTGTTCATGCCGCGGCCATGTATAAAAATAATGGTGAAAGTTTCAATGTAGTTTCAATGCTAGATGCTGGCCGATTATTATGCGTCATGTACCGTGGATTTGCCTCGCAACAATTTGTGAATGTGAATTTCGTACTTATTTTGCCTTCTCCTGTGATTTAATAATACACTCACAGGCAAAATAATCGATCCACACAAATTTTTGATGAAATTCAATCGCAAATAACTTTTAAAACTGTCACTGTCATCCTCCATAGCATATGGATGGACCATAGCAACCTTAGTTCTTCATACAGAAAAATATTGGAAATTGCAATGTTTTTTTTTTAAAATCCATATTTTCCACAAAAATAAATATATCGAGGTGAACCAAAAACAAAACTGTTAAGAATAGATTCGACTTGATAAATAAAACTTAATTTAGAACAATATACGGTTTTGCCACTCTACAGAGTGTCTTAAACTCATGGTAAAAAACATATTTTTGTTTAAACCTGTTTATTATAAACGTACGTCTATTTTTTAGTAATTTTTTAAAATGTGAGCGATTGTCCATTAATGTATCTACAATATTCTTTAATATTTGTTTAAATCCGAAATCAAATAAAAAAGTTATTTGCGATTGAAATTCATCGAAAATTTGTGTGGATCGATTATTTTGCCTGTGAGTGTATGATGGCAGATATTTTAAAATAATATTGAATTTTTATGCCAAACTGATATTTTTATTTTAGTACGTTGTAAATCCATCTATCGACAGAATTAGTTTGGATAACAAGGGTGGTCCAAACTTTTAATCTGAATTAAAAATATCACATTCAATTAATACCTATCTGCTTATAAAAAATTAAAATGAATTAAAAATATCTCCTATGATATTTTTAATGCATTTAAAAATTTCTCCCATAATATTTTTAATTTAGCGAATTATAAATATGTGTTTAACTAAAAAATACAATTATAAAAAATATATATTAGGTATATATAAATCAAAATCATTTTTATTTTTTTTTCACTGTTAAAAAAATTCATTATTAATAACTGCTTAACGAAAGGAGGTATTTTTGTTTGCAAATTAATCTTCGAACTAAATTGATTGCTAAACTATAAATACTTTCTTTATACCTCTTGAGGTATTGAAATGATAATTATTATTTATAACTAAATACCATTTTTTACTACTACTACTAATATAATTTTGGACTAGGGACTAACATCTGGGTAATAATGATGCCAAGAACCCCAGTTCAGATTAAGATCTTTCCCTCGGTCTTTCCAATTTACATTTATATTAGAAAATTTATATATTTGTTCGACTCGAACTCTAACTCAAAAGAAAGTAAAATCCTCCGTAATCCTTCTTGTTCCATTAACAATTTCTGACGGGTTTCAGTTCGACTTACAGGGGATAGTATCTCATAATCGGAGTCACTAGGGACTGTGGCAGTGGCAGCACATGCAGCGTCCCGTGGGAAGAAGCGTCGCGACGCGTTCCTGACCGGAATTTTCATTGCCCCTTCTTTTATACCTACTTTGTGAGTGTCGGGTTGGTATGCTGGCCCCGGGGTGCGGTCCATAAGTGACTTAACTGCTGCCGAGTGTACGAATAAATTTTAGTTTTTTGCACAGTGATGCCAAATTAAGAGTTTCTATCTATTCCATGTTTTAATACGGTTTTTATTTATTTATTATTTTGGGTGTGGATGTAATATTTGGCAATGTTTGGCAATATTTGTGTTTATGATTAGTGTTGCAATATTGTGGGTTATAAAAACTAGTTATTAAGATTAGATTAGATTTAAATACCTACTCTTAAAATATAACTACTAGGAAAACTAAAAAAAAATAAGTAAAATAAGGTTTTGTCATGTACACTCACAGGCAAAATAATCGATCCACACAAATTTTCAAAGAATTTCAATTTCAATTTTTATTTGTTTTCGGATTTAAACAAATATTAAAGAATATTGTAGATACGTTAGGTAATGGAGAATCGCTCACATTTTAAAAATTACTAAAAAATATACGTAAGTTTATAATAAACAGGTTTAAA